CGACTATATGCTCTTATACCTTCTGCATATGTACGTTCGGCGTGGTATTCCGAGGGACTGGGAAACGACCACAGGTGCTTACTTATCCATCTCTGCTAGAACTAGTCCCCTTGTGCCACCTCACATCCCCGCCTCGCGAGGGGGCTATGACGGGGCTGTGGAGGGGCCGTGAAGGGGGTGGAGAGGATGCTATGGCGGGGCAGATCCCCGATGTTGCCCCACGTGCCCCTCACCGAAAAAATGCGCAGGGGGACACCTGATATTTGTCGTTTTTGCCCCCTTGCCATATCAGACCGTCTGGCGATACTGCGAAGCCCCGAACCCCTTATTTTTGGGTTCTAGTCAAGGTCCCCCTTTCCTATACGGATTGTCCCCGGACTCCATACTATATCATACCTTTATTCATTCCTGCGAATCCCCGCTCGTCTTATTTTTCTTGTTTTAGTCCAGTGACCCTTTCCAAAGCCGAGTTTCCCGCGATCTTTTGCAGACCTTCACGTGTTACTGCGAAGCCCCGAACGAACAACATTGGTAGCACACTTGAACGCCATTTATTGGTTTTAGAAATTTTATTAAACGAAAAAGATAAAAACGTAGTATGTACAAGTAGTCATGCTTCGTAAAGGAGCACATGTGGTAGGCTGTCTTTGTCGGTAGCGGGTATCTACAAGAAAGCAGTGTGTGCCAATAATTAAACGGCGAAAATCATACTACTGAGCCACGTTATTTTAGCAGTCTATTTTGCCGTGGAGAGCAGTATGAAGTTTAGCAGCTCGAATATAAGCAGGATTTAAAGATATAAAAAGGCGTACTTTCGGTGATTTTGGACAAAAACATTGTCAGGTAAGATTCGACTCTAAAGGTGCAGACGAGAAGCTGAGAGTCTTGCTTCGCCAAGGGACACACATGGGTTTTCGAACCGCAACGGCTTCGGCCGCTACATTACTTTGTCCAGTTTAAGAAAATCTTATGTAGCAATGCTGAAATAACCGTTTCTCCCCGCCAAATAATGCATTTAATTCATGATTCTGTTTTTGGTTGTTTAAACAGTCTTATTGCCTCGAGATGGTTTTCTAGCGTTAAGCGTTTGCTTGGGACTTTGGTTGTTGACGCATTTCGCTGTGCTGTCACACCACAGTCACTTTTTGACATCTAGTTTTGGCAAAACTTTCAGACTTTTGGGCATCCTCACCTTGTCCTTTTCATCGCTCTCTTAGTACATTTAGTGCTTTTTGCGTTCAGGTTTCGTTACCATGTGTAAAACTACGTTTTCTTTAGGAAAATGAATGACTTGCATGTAATACTCAGGGTTTCCATATCTCTGTCCAGTGCGTATTCTGTATGCCGTAATGACTTTGCTAAGTCCACGCTCGCATACTTAAGATACTCTGTTTATTCACATCTTTACCTTCGTACTTCCAGATGTAGCCACCGTTTTATTCCGACTGTTGGGTTATTTGGGAATCTGAGTCTGAGAGTTTTTCACAGCCCATATATGAAAAGCCAAAGCAACTTAATTTTTGGAATATCGAGTTTGTCAAAATATCCTGATCAGTGAAACATTTTGCAACTGAGAGACAACGATAGAATGGTGGAGGATCTTGATCAGTTTTGTCGGATCTTGCCCCAGATTTTCAGTGGTAAACCATATCCTGTCTGCGTTCGACTATTTTGTCGTTCTCTATTTCGTCGTTTATACTTATCGCTTTGTCCTCTAACACAGAATATACGCTTATCATCCCCAACACTCTCCTTTTGCCAAATTTTTCTCATTTTTGGCTATTGTGTAAGTGATGGACGACGCTATCGATATGCCAGATTTAGAACTATTGAACGACTCTAAGACAGGCCATTCCGGGGGAGTGGGTAAAAACCCAACATCTATAGCGGAAGAACAGTATTCCATGCGTGTGATCGACCAGTAAAACAAGCCCGAGGTCAGTTAAGTCAACTTGAAAACTCGGTGTAGAGTTTTTAAACGGGGATATCATAGTCAGTGTCCGTATCAGTTTTACGACACTGAGGTTCCGCGAAAAGATAGACAGTTTACAGTGGACATTTTTTGTGGGATTTGCGTGGAAGGCTACTAGGCGAGCTTGATTTTTTAAGATAACAGTTTGCAGAAACCACCAAGCTGCGGGTGCCAGACATAGCTTGCATCTTCTGTTGAGTTTGTTTATGTGCGAGCTTCAACAAAGGGGGTTTAGAGTAACAAAATATGGGTTTGAAAAACTCGGAAGGTTGTTCGAACTAAAAATAACTGCTTACTGAATTCTCTTACATCAAAAGAAACCCAGTACACCCAAATGACACCTACGAACAAGAAAGTAGGCATGCACGAATCTTCGGCACGGAACATCTGGGACAAATTGTGCAAAGCTGCACGCTGCCGAAAACCGCGTCCCAAGCTAAGGAAACTAGGATAAAAATACGGGAAGTGCGTTGTGCGCACAATTCACCTATCTCAATCCAAACATAACCGCAGTCGGATTATGTCCTCGGCAGCAATGAAACTAAGATAAATTAGCCTAAAGTGTTCCTTTGAATTTTAAAGATATCTAATTCATAAAACGGATACATCAGATAGGAAAATCAAAGGGAACTGTTGGACTTAGGTCTTATAATCGTAACTGATTGAGCTAAACGTTATGTTATAGATCACAAACACGCTTGGCCTAGGAGCAGCGTCCTAAAGCAGCCCAATCTCTCCTAATAGTAGGGGACTAGGCAAAAATAACAACAGCACAAACCGACAACGAAAGGCTTCAGGCAGTCTGACCCGGTCTCAATTTGCTAATTAACAACCACGAACCTTGGGCGGCCATCTGAACTGGCATTATTTACTCGGTGCGGTCAGTTTGTACCCATTTTCACCAAGAAATATTTACTATTGACTAATAACAGTACACGAACACTTGTAACTGGTAAAATAAGATTCACAGTTTA